TCCGATCTCCCCAAAACCCCAAAACCCCTGAAAGACAACTTGGATTGTTGGTGTTTGTTAAAACATCATTTGATTAAACTTATATTTTTACGTAGAAATTATAGCAGATAATTCCAATACTTAAATTTATATGAGGAATACAGTTGTATAGCGACTGGCAAATATAGAATGCCATTCTTTTTATTTGAATCTCAAAACTGGTCAGCGAAAATTTTATCAAGCAACTCTCTGATCTGCAAAAAATCGAATTTGCTTATATCACTGCTGTCTTCTTGGCTTATTAATGCTTCCCATTTGCTATCTTCAAGAGTAAATATCTTGAAAATAAACATTTTAAGAGATTGCCTATCAATGTAGTATTAAGGATATTTGTTTCCTTCCTAGTATTTTGCCACTTCAATTTGAATTTCCTATTCTATCCTTTCATATTTGATTTCAATTTAGCTTTGTAACTAATAAAAATTATCAAGATTAAAATCGGATGAAAAGTTACCTAAGTCATGAGAATAACTGCCTTCAAAAGCTTCTTATCTATTCTCTTTTGCTGTAACTGCTATACAGTTTCGAAAAAAATATTAACATCTACTTCCATATAAGGATAGTATTAACATTTCTGGTTTTGTAAATAGCAATCCAAAATTTCTTAGAATTGTAGTTTATAGGAGTGTTCATCAGAATAGTAACTCATAAAAGCCTTGTTAAGTAAATCTAAGTTGACTAAAGTACTTCTCTTTTAATCATATTGATGAAGATTTTCCATTACTTTAGACTAGTATTTTTTGAAAAAGTTTTTTACTCCTAGATATGTGATCACAGCTTCAATGAAGAATTCTTTAGCATGAATTTCATAAATAGCCTAAATGTTTTTACTTAGTACTCTATTGGAACTGACGATTTCTGAGGGGGTTTAATGTTATAATATGTAAGGATCATTCAATATGACTCCTTTGTCCTTTTTGTATGGATTCGAGTCCAGCAATAGTAATATGAAATCCTTAGCATGCTGACCTATTCCATCTTTCCATTGAGGCTTCCATATATTGGGTTTATATATGATTTCAGTTATAACATCCTCATCTGAAAAACCATTAAAAGGGTATTCACCCTGATATAGGACATAGAGAATCACCCCAATATTCCACAATTCACCTGCCTGCATCATAGATTGGTCTGGAGTCATTTCAATCTACTCAGGGGATAAGTATTCTGCAAAGTAGTACTATCTTTTATGGAATCTGTCAGGCCTGAAATTCAGGAGGTTGCCAAAATTAGTAAATTTGATCATTTGAGAAAATTTGGAGCAAGTTTATGCTTGCTAGCTTGCAAGAAAGTTGAAGTTCGAAATTCCTACTCCAGGCTTTGTAACTAATATATTAGAAGGTTTAATGTCTGAATGGCATAAGTTATGATTGTTAAGCATCGATAAATATTGAATAATCTGCTTTGTAAAATTTGAAAGCTAAAGTTCATTGAATCCTCCTTAAAACAAAAATTCTTCGTATAAATTTCTTCCATCAATGAATCTACCAAAAAGATAAAAACTTTGAAATTTTTGATTACTCCTAAACAAGGTAAAAATGCAATTTATCTTAAAATATGTGCTGTATTTTGCATGCTCCAGGTATTAAATCCTAATTTAAACTAATTTACAGACAAAAAATTAACTTACAACTGCCTTGTACTTGAGGAAGTAAGCATGTGCCTTTTTCTGTTATTTCCCGTACTTCAACTTTCTAATTACCTTCAGCAGGTAAAGCGCTCCTGAGGTTTTGCCTCTTAGTTTGATAGAATGAGATAAAGATCCTACACTCAAAAATTCAAGAACTTCGAAGTTGTCTATTAGAAATCTGTTTCTGTCCAAGACAGTATCAGCAAGAATGGACTGAGATCTTCCTATTGTTAGATCTCCGCATCCAACGCCAGGATTAGAATTTTCATATACATCAGAAGGATTTATCCTAGACTCGTCACCCACAATGAACATCTTTCTGATGACTTAGAGTAGCTGTTCTGAGTCTTTGTGCTTATGCAGAGTTTGCTATTTAAATTACAGTCTCATTTCCTGTTTTCTATCTCTTAACTCAACAGGATTTATAGTTTTCCTGCCAAGATTCTAATGCTCCTAATTTTAGAATTCGACTTTGTCGTCTCCATAATCAGCACTGTTGATTTGTCTAATCTAGTTCATAGGCCCGTTGGTATTTATTCTCTCAATTTGGAGAGGTTCATTGGCAAGTATGATTTTGCTTGTCTTTTTCTAATCTGGTGTATTGAAGGGAATGATTTTAATTTCAACATTCTAGATGCTGTTTCTCTCCAAGACCTTTCCATTGCTACCGAAGTTTTCCTTCTTGTCTCCCATATACATCACAAATTCCTTCTTCTTCTAATTGCTTAACCCTTAGTTGTTGTTAGCGTCATCACTTTAAATCAATTCACTATCCTTTTTATGGCCTTGTATAGGATTACCCAATTTCATCTAATTTTGAGATGACATTTGCCTCTTGTGAGCTGCATTCATTCTGTTAATATCTATTTGTTTAGATTCAATTTTAATAACTTACTTGTTGAGGATGAAAATTTAACAGATTCTGGGATATTTTGAAAATCAATTTGAGAGCTATAATCGCCATTGGCGTCTTTTTTGCAGTTGAAAGGATTAGGGCAACTACCACATTAAACAGAACCCATTTCTCAATTATATCTGAATTATTAAAGTTTTGTATACAATTAAAAAAGAATCGATTTATCAACTTTTACTTAATATCTTACCATATTTATTAAACTTTCTTACGGGGTTTTGGGGTTTTGGGGTTTTGGGG